CTGCCACCGCCGCGCTCCCGCCTCCTGCCCGCTCCCGGGCTCCCGCTGCGGCTGCGGTTCTGACGGCCGAGCCCCCGCGGCGCGGCACCTCAGATCCGGTGCGCCGACCGACCCGCGCCCCTGCCTCGCTGCTCGCAGCTCGCTCATCCACGCGCCGCGCTGCTGCGGCAGGTGCCCCAGGCGTCCTGAGGCGCGGTGGCCGCCATCGATGACCCCGGGCACGGACCTGCTCCAGCCCGGCCACCCCCTGTGAGTACCGTCCCTTCCCCTCTGGCGGCTTTGCTCCACTCTCCCGCTTGCGTTGCCGCAACTTCGGGGGTGGGTGTGTGGAGGTGTCTCTCACGTCCCCCTCCCCCCGACACACACCGGTGCGAGTCCTGAGTCAGGGCCCCAGGGCACGACCAGTCTGCCTCTGCGGAGGGGCTTGGGGGCGCAGGTGGGAGCCGTTGAACTTGCTCTAGGATCGTCGCAGAGTCGGAACCACCCCTTTCTCCCTCGGCCCGGGCCGGAGCTCGCCTCTGCGTTTCCCTCGCGTTTGGCGTTCCCCACTGGCCACGTAGCTCCTGGGCTGCGGTTCACCGCGCACCTACTACGCTGCGGGCGCACCGGCGGGGCGCCTGGAACCATCGGGTAAGCAGCCTGGAGCACTTCAGGGCGCCGGACTTGACTCTTTCGGACTCTTAATTTCTGTAAAATGGGGCTAATCAGGGACTCGCTCAAGGTCATGGCCGGTGCGCGGAGTAAGAACCCTAGTGGGTCGCGTCTGGCCAGGTCCGCGGACTGCTTGGGTAGGGGGGTGCGCTGTTGCGGATGGATGGCCACTTCAGCTTCATCCCGGTCTCCTTTTCATAATTCCTTCCCCGCCAACTCCGCCGGATTTGGAGAGGTCGAGAGCCGATCCCAAGGGACCCTACAGAGGTTTGGGGGGTATCCGCGGGGGACCTTTGGGGTGAGCGCGGAGCCGAGCGCTTCCGCGGCAGGGACTCCTGGATCTGCGGCATTTGCAGCATCTCCTCCATTCCCAGTCATTTAATTTGCTAAGGTCTCGGCAGGGTAGGGCAATTTGCTAGGGGCCTGCTCTTAGATCCATCCTGCTACCTTTCCTTCTCCCAAATAAGCCCTGTCTCCGAGGGTAAGTATGGGAGAGACTAACTGTACACACCAGTTTGGGCCCAGGGACTTCGTAAGAGAGGAGAAGCGTGTACGCTCTGCTGTTGGCTTAGCCAACATTGGCTCTCATCTGCTCTAAGAAAATGCCTTAAGTCTGGCTTCATTCCTGCCCGCCCTACTCGCTGCCCCCAGATCTGGGTTTGTTGCACTTTCCCTGGGGAGGGTGGAGTCCAAGTCGCAGAATGTGTAACTGTTGCCAGATGTGAAGAGTTGACTCCAGCTCCTTTGAGGCAGCTCCTGTGGGGCTGTGGGTGGTTCTCAAAGCTTTGTACTGGGGACAGTCACCCCTCCTCTTTTGACATTCTTACTCTGTCCCTCCAACTCAGGCTACCTCGCCCTAACTCAGTGATCAGATGGTTACTTGGATAATTTTTTGATGTCTGACAAACATCTTTGAACCTCAACTTTTTTTTTTTTTTTTTATTAATCTCTATGCCCAGCTTGGGTCTTGAACTCAGGACCCCAAGATCAAGAGTGGAATGCTCTATTGGACTGAGCCAGCCAGGTACCCCTGAGCCTTAATTTTTTTTTAAATCTATAAAGCAGAACAATCCCTGCTTTTTAGTCTTCCCAAGGTAGTTAGGGTTCAGGGGACATGGTAGAGGTGAAAGTAGAAGGAAGATGGTTCCAGATGATCTGAGCTGTGGGTAGAAGTGGAGGTGATTTCAAGAATTTTTTGACAGCAGTCTCTGGGACTTTATTAGATCTAAGAATCTTTACAGAGAAATTTAGTTTGGTAAGACTTTGAAAATACTACATTTCATCTTCCAGTTGAAGTTCCTTACCTGTCCATGGGTAGCCACATCTCTCACAATGACCCCCTGCCTCATCTGTGGTGTGTGGGCTGGAAGCTAGCTGTCCCTGTAGGGTTAGGGCAGTCTCTCGTGGTGGTGAGGCACTGTGTGTGTGTGGGGGGGGAGGGGCGGTTGTCTCTGTGGAGCTGAAGTGTGTCTCTGTGGAGACAGGTGTATCTCTTTGTGGCCTTGGTTTCTTGTGGAAGGGGAAGGGGAGGGGCAGTTGTCTGCTCCAGAGTCTGCTCATTTTAGGAAGAGTGAAGTGTTAGCCGGGCCCAGCAATGTAAACTAACAGTGGTCTAGATTGTATCCTGTCTCCTTCCTCTCCTCCCAGAGGGGCAGAAGGAGAGCTCATCTGTGGTCTTGGCCTTTGGAGAAATCAATTGGCGAAGACTGAAATACCTCAGAGAGAAATGGGCATCCCCTGTTCTTAGTTCATATTGTGTCTGCAGTCTTTTGTCCCAAAGGCAAGTTAAAGAGGGACAACTGGTTAGAACTTGGTGACTTTGTTTTAGTATTATATTAAGCCAGGACATAATCACAGAAAATGGCACAGATCTGAAGTGTACACTCTGGATTTTCACAAATTGACCACCCCTGTGTAACCAGTGCCCAGATTAAGACCTAGGATATTCCCAGTCTCCCCCTGTCCTCTATAGGTACTATCCCCCAAGGGTAATCATCATCCTGCTTTTTTTTATCAGGCAAGTTTTATTTTTATTCTTATTATTATTTATTTCACCAGTTTAGTTTCAAAGCTAAAATGAAACTGTTGGATGATTTTTCTACCTCCTCTTTTAATGTATGCAAACCAAAGGTAGTTATAGGTAAGCCAGTCCAGAAATCTAGAAGGGAGAATTTGGTCTTAGGATCTGGGTGGAGTCTAAACTGGTTGTCTCCTCCCCTCCCCGCAATAGGTTCTTGGGCAGTGAAATAAGCCAAACCCCAGATATAACAGGCTGATATTGATAAATTGAAGACAGTTTATTCATAGAGTGTATTTGAAAAATGCAAGTCTGAAATGGTGTCATGATAAAATATACATAAAAATGTTAATGAATTCTCATTTGAAACATAAAAATGGGAATGTTGTGAATTTCTCAAAATTAAAAATTGGTAGAGGATCACAGAATGTCAAGGCTGAGTGATTTATAAACTGTGTGTGCTGTTGCCACATGGTGGCGCCACGTTGGCTGGAGAACTGCAATACCCAACATTCTTTCCCAAGCCCCCAGGAAGGAGTCCCAGGAATAAAATCCAACAGTTCAGCATCTCCAGAACTGATTTCCAAGCACTGTGGTTTTTCCAGTGTTGGGCAGACAGGCCTCCCCTCTGGTGCCTGCTACACTAAGTCCATGGATCGAACCCTGTCCCAGCTTTTCAGGAGGTGGCTTGTGGGTTGGAGGCACGTGTGTTGGAGAAGGGGGAGCTGAGACACTGTGGCCCTCTCTTTGGTAGTATGGAACTGTGTAAAGAGAGTTGGCTGAGAAGCTAGCTCAGGTGTGTTGTGATTATCTTGGTCTCCTTTCACCCCAGAATTCCCCCAAAGGTGTCAGAGAAGGAGTTCTCTTTCCTGAGGCAGGTAGCTATTTGCACAGAGCACTGTCCGTGGTGAACTCGGAAGAATAAACAGGCATGGGTGTAGCCAAACTGCTGCCCGATGAAATGCCCTCTGGGTTCCACAGGGTGGGAACCAAGTCCCGAGGGGAGACCACAGGGTGGGGGGCCTGTTGTATCCAGCTGTGGAGAGGGCCAAGCCGACCCATCCAGTGCCTTTTCTTTTTACTGTCAGTGTGTCCGAAATGCTGCTTAGAAGATTGTATTCATGCGCTGGCTGCCATGCCCGTGGTTGCTAAGAGAGCTGAATATTTGCCATGAAGGAACTGGGCCTAGAAGCACTCTTTCTGAGTTTGCACATTATGGGAGCCAGAACAAGGACTGAGCGCCAAGTCTCGCAGATGACTTCCTCAGCTGAGTTATGTGCCCTTCTGTGGGGTGAGAGGAGCCTTGCACAATTCTTCTTCTGTCTTCCCTGGCACCTGGTAGAGCGCCTTACATGTAGTAGCTACTTAAGGCTAAATATGGGATTGCAATTAAGTAGAAACTTCCCTGCTGAGCGAAAGGGAAATCCAGACAGTGAAGGATGAGAGTTTGGGGTTGAGCCCATGAAACCTGCAACGTTGGGACTGAGTGTGGGCCCACCAGAATGTGGAGTCTTATTTTATGTTTAAAATTTTATGTAAATGGAGGTCTGTTATTTGTTTTTTTTCCACCCAACATTGTTTTTTAAACATATGTTCATAACATTTGTTGATAATTATAAGTTTAGTTGATACATTTTAACATAGTATTTCCTTCTTTGGTATACCAGAGTTTAAATATTGCTCATTGGTGGACAAAAAGATGTTTTTACCTTTTGCTATTATGAAAAATATTGCAGGGAATATCCTTGATAAGGTCTTGTACAAATGTGTGTGTGTCTAGGATTTATATCCCCAGAAGTTGAAAACTGGGTAGGAGGATATGCTTACGTCAATATCTGTCTGTTACTGGGTTTTGCAAATTGCCCTCTGTAGTGGTGGGGGCACTTTATACTCCCACTAGTACTGTATTGGAGTTCCTTGTATCCCCATATCTTTGTGCCATCAGATGTTTTAATTTTGGTTCATCTAATAAGCATGGAATGTGTTTCACTGCTCTTTTACTTTGCATTTCCTGTAGAGGTTTTTTGTTTGTTTGTTTTTTAAAGATTTTATTTTTAAGCAATCTCTACACCCAGTGTGGGGCTTGAACTCACAACTGTGGGATCAGGAGTCACATGTTCTACCAACTGAGCCAGCTAGGCACCCCACCCTTAGAGATTGTTAAAAAATATATTTTGGTTTTCAAAGTTTCTTTTCTGTACATTGCCATTTTTTACTAGATATAACTTTCAAATCTTTAAACTCATCTGAAATTTATATTGCTATGTTGTGTGAGACAGGGATCTAATTGTTTTCCATACTGAAAACCACTTTTCCCATTATCATTTAATGAATAGTTACCTATTTTCTTACTTATTTTGTTGCCATCTCTGTCATATACCAGTTTCTGTTATATTTTTGGATCTGTTTCTGAACTCTGCTCTGTTCTATTCATCTCTTTGTGATTCCTGAGCTAATACAGTTTCTTTGAATTATTAAAGCTTTATAATAATTCTTTTCTTCTTAGCCTTTTTCTTCAAAATTGTCTTGGTTATCCTTGACCCCTTAGGCTTTGACATGAATTTTAGGATCTTTTCTAAATATCCCTTTTCATGAAAAATACTGTTAACAAAATTTGGTAAAATATCAAATAAAACATATTTTCTTGTTTCTTTTTTTTCAAATATAGTGCTAATCAAAACTTCTAATTTTCCATTATTTACTGTGAAATCTTGATCTCCAATTTAAGTGGATTCACTTTACGTGACACTTCCCTGGTACCAGATACCTTGAATAATAAGGACCATTTGAATATGATTTTTAAAACACCTATAAGGTCATTTTTTAAACTCAACAACATACAAGTAATTTTAAAGTCAGTGATTACTCTTCTGTGACATTATTTTTATCCTCCTCATAACTCATTTCATTTAGGTACCATAATTTATTCAACAAAATCATTCTTTAAAACATTAAGCACTTT